TATATATATATATATATATATATATATGAACTTGCTGTCCTTCAAATATTTCTAAAGTGCAACTCCCAAGAACTTGTATTAGCATTGATGATGGTGAGGGATTCTGGGAGTTCTAAATCAGTAACATTTTCAACTTTCTGGGCCTATTCCAAGTGAGCTCAATGAAGCATAAAAAAACAAAAACAGAGTACAACTTAGTGGTAGAATAGAGTTGGGGGAATATATAATAATTCGCAGATAAATAGTAATATTTACTGAAATTGTGTACCACCATAGCAAGGGTAAATTGGAGTAGATGAGCAACAGCAATAACAATATAAGCAGCTATGAGATATCAAAGATAAGCTAGAGGAAACCGTGGGTAATCATTTTGCTTCCATAAATAATTGGAGGGTCCAAATGGATAGATTTTATACTATCAATAAAAAGGCACTGTATCACTATTCTGCTTTTCCTTTTCTTAATGACATTCTGGCAAGGAAAAATATGGAAGAAGACATACAAATTTTGGAGAGTTAAAAACAATAGATTATAGATCCACCAAAACATTATGTGAATATAATCAGCTATTTGAGAGTAAATGCTGTATCTGGAAGCACCAATAAAAAAAACTGAAACCATCGGAATCTACCGTATATACTACACAGTTTAGCTGGTTCACAATAAAGTTTTCTTTAGTTGTATAAGGGAGGAAAACACATAAATCAGAATCATGCAAAATTCTATGTCATGCTGAATAGGTGTAGTAAAGTAAGGTAACTTAAGTGGTCATCACTATTGATAGGGCAAAAAGATTTTTTCTCTAAAATCAAGTATTGGAAGATACATTATTAATAAAAACAAAGTTATAGTCTTTATTGGAAAACTCAATATTTTTGAAAGATGCTTAGTTTTTACTGAGAATTCATCCTATTTTGGAATCAAAAAGTACAGAAAACTATTAATTCATTTCAGAACCATCATTTTTTCTTAAGTAAAATCTACCAACCAAATCCACCAGTAAAACTATGATATCTGAAACTAATTAGTTTTGAAATCAGGAAAAGTTAAGATAGGTCCCTACTCCACCACCATTCAATCTACAAAAACTGACTAAACTATCAGATGATTCTCACTTAAATGCAGGTTGCCTCTTCTATACTAAAGATAAAAGGAAAGTTAAGGTAAATAGGACAGATTGTGTAATCTAAATTACTGCCACTCTGTGTTCTTCAATATCTGAAGTGCGAAGTGGCCACTTCAGTATTCTTAATAGTTGAACCAGTTTTCTTTGAAATGTTCTATTCATGAAAACAAGATTGTGTTATATATATATACAGCACACATATATAACTTGCCAGAAACCCCTTTCACAAGAAAAACTAAGGCAAAACCAAACCATATTATGTCTAAACCAAGCCAAAAATTTTACAGTATTATAAAGCCCTTGGTTTTTTTTTCTGGTGCTATGATTCATACAACAGTTACAAATTATTTTCCCAAAATGATTCCTAGTTTTCTAATTCTTTGGAAATTTCCATCTAGAGATGCAATAGCACAAGGGAATTATTTTGAGATTAGCATATCAAATTTGCCGACATGCACGGGGGAGTTCAATGCATGGGCTCAAATCAAGGAGAGTGTGTGTGTGTATGTATGTATATGCCCAGAACACAAAATGTACAAAATTAGGAAATATGAATCCATGCTTGAGGAATTCTAGATTACAAAATTCTATATTAACAATTTTATTTTACAAAAAATGCAAGCTATTTCATAGGAAACAGAAGCTTTCAAGGTTCTTAGCTGATTAACCTGGTGAATACTTCAGCAGACTTTCATAATTTTCTGAAAAATGAATCCAAGACCAAAGTTTCACATTGCTGACCCTTATTTACAAAACCATCTGCTGTGTAAAATGTTAATATTTTAGATGGAAGGATGAAAACGAGAATTGTATGTAGTGAATATAAGAGCTTCAGATGCCATCAGAGCCAAGCAGGAATTTTGGGTGATTATATTATTCCAAACTGTGCCAATTCATGAAGTTCCAGATGGCTGAAAGCTTCCCAGGGGCAGATCACAGTGATATCTGCAAATGAGACAAAGAAATTTCTGCAACTGATCAAACTATAACAAGATCATATAAGAAGGATATCTGTGAGTTGAAACTTCATGCAAAAACATCTCACATTAACATTTTTTTCTTAAAATGTAGTTAACTTCATTATTATAGTCTGACTAAAGCAGTATAACTTCAAAAAATAAAAATAAAATGGAGTATTATATAACAAAGCAAAAATTGCTCTAATTTACTTACTAAAACAAATTGTTGCTTGTCTTACTGAAAGATCAGTAAGAGACTTAATTCAAATCTAACTAAAATGGTTGGCTACTGAAATGATACCTCTTGAAAGATTGATATGAATAAATGAATATAAATTTGTGAATTATCACTGTCTTTTACTCAATATTGTGAAATCAGAAAATGAGTGTCTTAAAATTGTGCTCTGAGGATCTATAACTTTCTAAACAAAAAAGGAACAAGGAAAACTAAATAATGTTGTGACAAACAGTAATGGCATTCAAGAAGAATTTAGCTATTCTTTTGGAAGACATTTCTAAAGTGACTTTAAAGTGTACATTTACACAGAAAATGGAGGATATGAAATGCAAGAAGCAGCCCTTAATCTAACACATGCTATTTGTTAGATTAAGAATTGATGGCTACTTTGTTCTATTTCTGGTCTGAAATTTCATTTCTAAAACCAATATAAATTATTTGCCAATTACATTTATTTTCTTTTTGTGGCTATTTCTTTTTATTTATTTATTTACGGTGCCTCACAAAAGAAGGCAATTAGGAAAAATAGCTAAAGGCAATTCTGAATCCTATCAAAATCTTTTTGTAGTATGCAGATGTTCTGTTAGAGTCATAAGTCCAGCTCTAGTGAATTATGTCAGTTTTTGCATTGTACTTGAATCTTTTATAACTATATGCCTCATGAAATAGTATACCAAATATGGCACAAATAATCAGCTCTTAGTGATATATAGAATTATATTTATTTATTTATTTATTTGTAACAACTGATATAGTTCCCCAAGGTTTTTTTCACAGACAAATGCAATAAAACAAATGTTCTCTTTTTCTGGCCAACCAAATTATTAAATAAAGGAGTATCATTAACTTTGTGCATTTAGGATACACACATAAAGGTCTCAGTTTTTCTTAGCAAGCGTGGGTAAACAAACTTTCATTGGGCTTTTATTTTATTTTATTTTATTTGCCTTCCATTAATATAGACTGAGAACATTAACATGGTCAAACAAAAAGCTTGCCAGTAAGGCAAACACATGTTATAATTGGCTGAAATAAAAAGTCTTCCAGATCGATCACCTCCTTAATAGCTGAGTGTTGTACTTTCAGCTAAACTGTGGTATAGATACTTGGTTACATTTTAATGCTTTCAAAACTATGTGCTATGAAATTTTGCACTGTGATTTCATAATATATTAGATCATATTCAGTAGCTTCTAGAATAATGGAAAGCTCCCCAAAGGAATTAAGGAGACCATCAATTAAAACACTGTAGCCAGAATTTGAAATAAGTGAGCTACATGTATGATTCTAGAAGGGCTAGTCTGAAAGTACAATGAAGAACATGAAGTCCATGAAGAACATGAAGAACATGAAATTTAACAAAATCCTTAATAATTTAGATTATATTGTGTGGATAGATTCTTAAGAAAATGATATTGCAGATGCATTGATGCCAAATTTAGAAGGTTACATATGGCAAAACTAGTGTTTTAAATTTCATTCAGAAGCTTATTGGCATCCAGTCTAGGCCTTAAGCAAAAGTTTAATAGGCTATTGGGCATTAGTACCTATAGGAAATAAACTACAACATTTTGTATCTTCTGATTGGAAAAGCACTCTATGTACACTGCACTGCAGTACTCCATATATGTGCTGATAATAATGGCATAAATAAGAATTGAGTCAAATACTGTTTTTAAATCAGAGACTTTTCAAATAGGTGGCACGTACAGTGATAAAGGATTGATCAAACTGCCAGTTTGTTTCTGCCCTATACAGTGACCTGCACCAATCAACTGGCCAATTTATCATAAAGCTGCCTGGTGCAAAATTTACTGATTATATGTAGGAGATTAATTAGGTAAATGAACCAATAATATTTAATAACACAATTATTTACCTGTTCCAAGTCCTTCCATTCCTGGAATATCATCTCCAAAACTTTGGACAAAGAAAGTAGAGAAAGAAGATGAATGAGAGGGAGGGACAAAATTTTATATATATATAAAACACATTTATATATAACACACAATTATATATAATATAACACACACACACACCAATATTATTTTCTTAACCCAGTAGCTGAATGACAAAAAATTAATATGTCAGAACTCTTTCAACTATTGGACTTGAATGTGGCTTTCAGTAGCATATTACATTTGAATTATCATGTTTTGCCATTTAGTGTTCCGATCTAAAATATAGACTGTCTGGATAAATAGAAGGACAATATAAATTAAGATGTAATCTATTTCTTGAAACAAGTTACATGCTAATTGTTAAGGTCAGAGGCATTAAAGACTCCTTAATATTTAATGAACTTTCAGTGTCCAAGTTGGCTGCCTTAGGAAATAACAGAACAGAACAGGAAATGCTATTTCAATTAAAAAGAAACAAAGACCAAATAAACACAATTTTTGCAGCCCTTTGAAAATATTTCTGTCATCATGCCACCCTGATTGACTTTATTAACATAGATGTCTATGCACATATCACAGGTGCCTTACCTAAGGCCTAAAATATAAAACAATTAAACATAGACAAATGTCCTATTTAAATATAATTATATATGTAGACATTTAATATGTAAGCCAATAGTCCTAGTGGCACTATGTTGACCAGCTCTTACCAAGTACAGGACACTTACTAATTCCATTTACAATACAATCCTATGCATGTATACTCAGACATAAACACCATTATGTATCATGAGGTTTATTCCCTTGCACATCATTAAGATTACACCAAGTTAGTTGTAGCACTTTCAACGTATGCTATGGTTTGAAATATAATATAATTTCTATGTTCTATCTATCTATCTATCTATCTATCTATCTATCTATCTATCTATCTATCTATCTATCTATCATCTATGAGAATTAACACAAGGAAAACGAAGATGAAAATTAAAGGCAACAATAAATGAAGGAAGAATACACACCCACACATTCTCATACAAACATATTAATTTACATGCATATTCTCCCTCCCACCAAGAATGTGCATTTTTACTGCTATTCATATTTATCTGAAAGTTCCACGACTCAAAAACCTTACTTCTAAGACGGTATGTACAGGATCATTTATAATGGAGAATGAGGAATATTAGGGTCATGCCTTTAGTAATTGTAATTACTAAATACTTATACTCTAGTAAGTGTAATTGGGCATTATCAAGATGTCAGACAGCCCAGACACAAGAAGTCTTTGAAAAAGCCAATGACTAGACCAGTTGAGAGAAGAAAATTAAGAAAGCCACAATTTAAGTCTTCTAGAAGGAACAAGTTGGAGAAGGCTGTTTCAGAATCTTCAGATATGTAATCATTTGATTTCTGGATAATAACGCCTACCCTTTTACGCCTTTCTTAGGAGGCTTGCTCTTGAATTGTCTTGTTTGCCTTTGCTTGAACTTAGGAGGGCCCTTACGTGGGGTAGTTGGCCCTGTTGATTCTTTTGCATTGAGGGTAGTAGCTGCAGCATTATCAGACATCTTGAGTTACAGTGAGATTTTTTAAGATTCTCCTTTCTAAAAGAGAAAATAATGCGGTTAATAAAGTTGGAGAAAAGAGGGTCTTATATAAGAGTTGATGCCACAAAGATTGAAAATTCTAACTAGTACAGAGTCATTATACACTTCAAGCTAGGTAGACTAATTAATACTGTTACATAAGGCTATTCCTCTCTTTCCTCCCACCCACTCGAAACAGAGAATCTGGTTTTCCTTTTTGTGTTGTTTCATGTATGAATCTTTATTTCTTCTTTATCATTGATAAAATGACCCCTGAATTTAAAAATGGACAAAATTTTAGAGCAGTTAATATGGATAGTTTATGCCATAGTGATTAATGTGCTCATAGAAATACATTGACAAAAAGAGAAGTTATGTCTATTTATATTTTTTCATCTCCAATTTATTTTTTTATATTTAAAAACACACTCATAAAATAATGCTGCAATGGGTTTAAATTATCTTCAGTAAATTTATGGAAGTCTATTTACTAAATACAAATAAATGTACTAATTAGAGTTCTTTTCTTTAGCTCAGATAACAATCTGTTCCTTTGCAGTCTATAGGTTTTATGCTTACATAAATTTAATCCCCTCCACTTCCTCCTCTTCCATATCTGATTCTTTTATTTCACATCAGAATAAGACCAATTTTTGTTAGGATAACATTATGTTGCTAATGATCTTAATACTATGTATTATCAAGTGCCTCCAAGAAAAGTGCTTGTCTTTGACCTTTTCTCTCTCATATATGGAAGGTCACATGCTGCTAATTTCTGCTCCTTATAAGTATTTTGATTTCTATACTTTTATTTGTTCTTTGTATGTACTCATAGAAATATGAGGGGGAGTGCTATTTTTTTAAATGAATGATTATTATCAGACCATAACAGTATATTCTTAATACAGTCTTGAGTTCTTTTCACATGATCAGTTTTTTAAAAATCATCATTCAGAGCACTGATAATAATCATAAATAAAAATTACATCTACAAAACCACTGGGGCACATCTTAGTAGCTATGTCTTTCACTTGGTGGGAATTTGTTTGCACATATATTTAATAACATATTATTGGATCATCACACAATCAGCCAGATGTTTTAAGTTGAATTTGGCAAACGATCAAGTTCTTTTCAAGGGCTTGAGATAGGCAGATGCTGATATTATATGGTGCTAAAGGTATTGTGGCAGAATATAAGTTTTTCCAATTGCCTTTTGCAATGGACCAGTGGTTATTTTGTCAGTGCCAATGGTATTCAAATAGTGCTCCAGTTGTTTTGGGATTGCACCCAAAGTCCCTATTATTATTACTGCCTTTGCTTTCTTTTGCCACCATCATTCTATTTCCACCAGAATTAGCCCCTTTTTCTCTTTCTTCAACTTTCCTACTCTAAACCATAACCAGGTCTTGTTATTATCTAGTTCGCCTGCTATTTTTTAATGTACTGGCCACGTAATATTTTTGTTTATTTTTTGTTCTTTTGATTCTTATTATTACTGACATGTAGAAGTGGCAGAAGAAGGGTGTCACACTTGGACAAAACAGATATTCTAGTAATTGTCAAGTGAGAGAATGTATTGCAACATATAATCTCCATACCCATTTGTATATTTGATTGTATTGATAAAATATATGCTGTATCATGGGCCAAAGTGAATCATGAAAATGCAGCAAACTTCATACAATTTAGGTTTACATCTCCTATAACTATACGCCTAAGAGCCATATCTGCAATTAAATTTTGCCGGTAGACATATCATTTGTATAAAATTCTAAGCTTGTTCACTCAGAAAAAAAGTTATATTGAATTCAGTGGGGATTTAATCGGAAAGTAATATTGTTTTTACTTTGGAAGTCCCGTTAAAAGCAGTATGAGTGTAAATATGTATGCATATATATGTGAGTAAATAGATATTGAATCATTGTTGTATGTTGGACTAGCAATTTTAGTTATATATTGTATTTTGCTTTAAGAACCCATTCCTGATTTAAGGAATATGTAATTTTTGCAAATAGGAGGGTGAGTAGAAATCATTAAACAGGCTGACAGTGACATTTATTGCAGAACCAAAAATTTAGTTAAACTCCTGATTTCCTGACTGCCTTTATAGGGCCAGTTTTATAAGCACAAACAGATCTCAAGATCTACACAATTTTTTCTTTGTATGTGAACATGCTGTTTAAAGAAATGGCAAAAAATGGGAACAATTAAAATGAACTTATTTTGCTTGTCTTCACATGAAAAACAGTCGGTAAGAAAAAACCCTTCATCCTTAACAAAAGGTTCTCACATTCTCAAGTCATATAACAATCTTTTCCTACCAAAACCAGAAACATCAATGAGTTCTCTACAATCATCTTGTCTTATTATAAATCAATGAATCTGTTTGTAGGTAGCTTTCATCAAAACAGACTACACTTTATTTATATACTTTAAAATAAATTATTTAGGAGTTCAACATCACTATAAGACATCTGGTGCCTAACACTAACTGAACATCTTCTCCACCCCCTCACTTGCCTACCTATTTATGCTTGGATTTTTTCCCTTCAATGTCTTAAGCAAAAAATTCTTTACAATCTTACCTTACTCAAGAAATGTCCAAAGTGATTCTTTTAATAAAATTGCTCACAGTTCTTGGAAAAAGTAATCCTATGATGAGCAAATCAATGTAAGCAATAGCAGTGAAGTAAGACTTGAAGACTACTGTACAAATGATGTTCTTTCTCTTCCCACTTTTCTCTGCCCTTCTCAACATGAAACTCAGTGTAATTGCCTCTGACATATCCTTGTTTAGCATAGCAGTCAATCCATCTTGCTTGCGTTGATGGCTAATTTTACCTAGTTTAATCTGTCCCTAGAAGGTTCTTATCATGATGCTATCAGATGGCAACCTATTTCTATCTTAATCTCTGTCCTTCTTTCCTCCTATTTGTTGACTTGTAAATAGGAATGTTTCTATTCTAATTGGATTTAGTTTCTTCCTAATCTATTCTTTTTTCAGTTTTAATCTCTGATCCCTTAGGAGAGGCAAACTAGATCCTTGGGCTGATATATTTAACAAGGCTAGACAAAATAGAGATGTTTCTGATTTTTTTATTTATTTATTGCCTTGAAAAAACTACTCACCCAGCGCGCGCGCCCCCAGTTCAATAGGACCATTTTGCTGGTTCATGGAAAGATCATTTGATATAATTTTCTTAAATAATTTTTATTAAAAAAATAAAGATAAACAGGAAAAAAATTAGAAGAATAGGAAAGATAAAAAGTGTTGAAAACAACAGAGCAAAGAAAAAGAGAAAAAGAAAAGCATACTTAAAGAAGGGATTTCCAATCTTCTTTACAGCACTTTCCCTCATACATTATGTAATTACATAAATTCCTTTCTTCCCATATACAGCCATGGTAAATTAAGAAATCACCAGTTCATTTTTATCCATTTTCATGAAATACTCCATAAGGGAAAGAGCAACTATTACTAAACTATGGAAGCTTAAGTCTTTTTACAGTATTCCCAAATTACTGCATCAGATGCAATGCTTATGCTTGCCCAATGTAGTATGATTTGAATCACAAATTTCTTGAAATTTAGACTTCAAAACTGATTTGACCAGTGAGTTTCTGGTTTTTTTTGCACAAGTTCACACATGAAATAATAGAATGCTGAGTCACTCATTTCTTCCTTGAAATTAACAAGAGTTTTGCCAGCTTCCTCTTTTAATTCAAGTACTGTACCAAAATAATAATAAAAGACTTTTTATGGGTCTATTTGTAGATGCTCTAGACTAGGAGTCAGCAACCCGCGGCTCTGGAGCCACATGTGGCTTTATCATCCCTCTGCTGCGGCTCCCTGTCACCGGTCGGCTCCACAATTGATAGGGCTTTCAGTTAGGACTGGTAGAAGAAATAGGATGATGCGCTAGGAGAAGACTGTATGGTGGTAGAACCGGACTTCCAGTTGGCTCCAGAATTGAACCGCGATGATGGTGGTGGTTCCGGTTAGGACCTTTGTGGCTTTTTGAGTGTTTAAGGTTGCTGACCCCTGCTCTAGACGATATGAAGGGGATTCACTTAAAGGCGTGCATACAAACTTTCTTCTAGAAAGGACAGAAAAGAGAGCAACTGTTATTTGCTCTCCTGGCATGGGTGGGAGGGATAAAGGATCAGGGATCATCAACTCTGGTCAGCTGGTCCAGAGAGAATAGTGGGTGATCATTGTAGCTAGAGAAAAGGGCTGAAGATGAAAGGCAATTTTTAAGCTGGATGTCAGGCCTGCATTTATATTCCTTTTAGAATTTTGGCCTGCCACACTTCTCTTATGCTTTTCTTTAAGTATAGTCAATGGGAGGGGGGATTAGAAGGAGTAGGATTTTGGAATGT